CTCTACTCAGTTCCTTTTTTTTTTAAATATTTCGTAAAGGAAGAGATACTCTACTCAGTTCCTTTTTTTTTAAATATTTCTATTGACTTCAGGGAGGAAGGGAGAAGAAGAGAGAGATAGAAATATCAGTGATGAGAGAGAATCATTAATTGGCTGCCTCCTGAACACCCCACACTGAGGATCGGGCCTGCAACCGGGGCATATGCCCTGACCGGGAATCAAACTGTGACCTCCTGGTTCATAGGTTGATGCTCAACCACTGAGCCATGCCAGCTGGACCTCAGTTACAGATTTTTCAAAATAAACTCACTCTAGAAGTAGAATTACAGTTTCTCTTCCAAATACTGTTTGAAGTGTGTACATTTGTAATAATTCTGTATCAGAGACCTATATTATAAAAATAATACTAAATTTGATCTTGTGTTATAATTTTGATTCAAAGAATGAATGCATACTTTTATCATGCTTCACAGACAGAGGGCTTCAATTCATCTAAAATGATACATACTTCCATTTCTACCCTTAAATTTTTGAATGAATTATTGGATATTTTTATTGCTGTGAACTGTAATGCTAAGTTAATGTCCCTTTACCTTAGCTGAGATTAAGAGCTATCAGAGATGCTGGGGCTAAGATATAGGTAATAGCCTGCAAACTTATTATGGGCCAACTCTTTGTTCATTTCTAGCCTGGAACTTCTACTCGACAGTCACTTCAATTCATAAATAATGCATTTTCTTTAAAAAAAATTGCTACCTTGGTTTTGTAGAGGTTTCTTTTAAAAAAATGAGCATTAGTTTTACCTACAAAATGCTATAGGTGTTTTACTAGTTGATAATACTTATTAATTTCTTATTTACTTAGGAAAATTTCTTCTATTTATTTTTCCTTTAAGGATGGAAAATCTTTATATTCTAATTTTTTTTACAGTACCAATAAATTGCCCACATATAGGCAAGATACTTGTTTTAGTTGAAGCTTAAGTGTGGTAAAGATAATAATTTCAATGTAAGTCTTAAACTCTCTTATCAGCGTGAATATGGCAAAGGTGTTTAGTATGATTTGACATTTAAATATCAGCCTACAGAGTTCAGGCGCATTTTATTCTTCCAGTAAATCAGGCAGGCTAAGATATATTTTGAGTAGTTATTCTCATCAATCTTTTGTGCTTTGTCCTCCAAGGATAATAAAATGTAATAATGATTCATTGTTAAGGACGTCCTTAAGCATTTAAAAATCTATAGTTATTCATATAAAAATAAGGATGTTTTTATTATTATTTCTCTTTTGTTTTTTCAGATTTAAAGAAGAAACTTGGTCCTTTAAATGGACAAGGGAACATGGAGGTGTTTTTAATTTTACATATTGAGATATACTTAACTTTCATTCCAGAAAATCCAATGAAGGTGTCAGATTCTTCAGTAGGTGGAACTAAACTGGCAAATCTAGAGACTTGAAATAGCAGAGGGACATAATAGCTAAATGAGATGCCACTCTTTGTCTAGTAAATCCATACTGATAGCTCCCAGGGACTAGCAAGCATGACTGATTCCATTCAGATTTAGGAAAATATAAGAGAAATTTTTAAATTAAATATAAATGTTCCTCCAAGTATAAACAAATGCTACAGCTAAATTTCTGAGAATATATATGTACAAGTTGTGGCAAAAGTAGGTTTACAGTTATTTGTTTGGAAAAGAATACAATAATTACATGATAATACAAGAATAAACTGTTTCACTTACAACTGTATATATATATAATTTATATGCATATATACACATATATTTTCAGTATATGTTATATATATTTATATCTGTGTATATCTTTTATATTTTAGAAACTATGTATTTTATATATAGTTGGAAAATACATTTTATTTTATTTCATTGTTGATCATATTATAGTATAGTGTTTTCATATTAATACCAGGTAAAAAGAAAGTAGGAGTGGATTAAATTCACATTAAGAATAATTAGCTGGGGAGGGGGGGAAGAGCCTAACCCCAGATAATCAAATGTTAGTAATCTAATATTTTCCTGTGGATGTTGACCAGAATATAGTGAATTTTTTATATATTGAAATCTAACATAGATTTCTTTATTCACATGTATTTATATGCATATAAATATGTTTATGTGTATGCATAGTGTACATTTTAGAGTAAACATACATTTTATAAGGCAGAACTCATAACAAAACAAAATTCTTTCACTTCAATATGTCTGAGCAATTGAAGCAATAAAGCAGATAGTAAAGGGAGCTTGTTTTTTATTGACATCTGTATTGTTTTTACTACAACTAAATATAGAAAGCCTCTCTTAATTCAATTTTATCTAAAGCTGTAATTGTTTTTTTGATCTATAGGCACATCAGTTTTATTCAAAGACTAAATTAAACCAAAGCTTATTTTTTGAAAGATTTATACCTAAAAATCATTATTCTCAGTACACAAAGGGATCTATGTTTTTATTTGAGGTGCAGTTATTGAAATTTATAACTTCATAATTCAAAAATTACTTCTCTCTTCAGTAATACTTTTGAAAGTCCCACTCAAAAATTTGGTTCTCTGAACAATCGAAGATGCACTTAAGAGAATGAATATGAGGTACATTGTTTTTAGTATGTTGTAGATCAGGTTTTATTGATGCTTAGATTGATAGTTTAACTATATTATCTTACATTAGTGGTTGCTGGTTAGTTTCTAGTATTTCTTTCTGTGGAGCAAACAATTAAGTTTGTCAGTGTGGCAAATAGGCCCCAATTCATACATACTGCAGAAACAACTGTTTTGTCTTGCAACAAGAAACCTGTTTATTTTGTGAGCATCTTCTTAGGGAAATCAATACTATTTTTTCATGGATCCTTGAAAATATTACACTATGCTTTATCTAAGTGGCCTTCTGTTCTATATCAGAAATTGAACTGAGTTAGGTAAGGAATTGTAGGCCACCAATTATGTTTTATTGGACTCAAATGCACACAAAAATCTAACTTCACAATCAGTTTTTAAATTGTAAGATTACCTGTAAGCAAATATACCTTTTCTGTCTTAGTTTTAGAATCTGTCACGTTACAGAATTTTTTTTTCAATATTGATTTTTGTATTTTACTGAGAGGATTGTTGTCTTTTTTCATTGTGTAGTCATTTCTCTGGGGCTCACAGCACATTCTTGGTAACTAATTATGGTGTCTCTGTTTCTTGACTCTTGCCTATGGTTTTTGAACAGATTTAAGGGACCTTTATTCCATATAGACTCTACGGAATCCCTAATGAATTGTTTGAGCTCTCTGCAGTACCCTTGGATTTGTATCTTGTGTGTAACTCTTATCCAAGAAAGTCACCAAAAAGTGAGAATGATATAAAAAATTGGAAATAATATTCTGCATGCTTTTCTTCAACTGGATAGAATGAGTGAAGTAACTCATTTTAGTCTTGCTCTAAAACCAATTGAGTTCATAAAATAAAGCCTTTGATCCTTAAGTAAAATGAGATTTAATTATGCCAATTTATACTAGTGCATCAAATATCCACTTAAAAAGACAAAGAGGTTCTTTCAGATTAGGCTTAAAAATACCCCGTTTCCAATACTAAGTTTAAAATCAAGTAATGGGCTACAATAAAATAGATCAGCTAAGTGCAAATAATGAAATTGATATAACAACTCATAGAATATACATTTTAAAAGCATTAAATGAGAAATAATGAGCTTATCTTATATAATATAAAGAAACTTCCACAGTAAAAACACAATTATGACACGTTGTATATTAAAAACACAATAAAAGGAGTGGGAAATGTAATTGCATTGGTTGAATTGCATTGGAAGTTTTTCTATTTAGATTAACAAGGAAGAGAGCAGTTGTCATAAATTTGTCATAAGATTTGCCAGGGGTTCGTGATTAAGCAGGAGAGAGTTGGCTGAACAGAGGGGAAGGATGCAGGAAATTCTGTGATGCTTTCCCTTGCCCCTCATGCTGATGCCTCTCCTGGCACAGACATGGTCCTCGCAGGGTAGAAAGGGGGCTGAGTTCCTGCTATGTTGGCATCTGTTTACACATGGGCTTCCATCACCATTCCAGAACTAACCCTCAGGATCCTGACAGCCATTTTTTTGGGGTTCCTTAGAAAAGTTCATTATTTGCAAAGCTGCATCTCATCTGGGGGGAAAGAGCACTTAATGGGCTTCAGTACCACCAGATATCTTCACTTCTAGAAAGCTGTCTCTTCATATTTATAGAGCAAAACTTTAGGAAAAGGAGATTAATTGTGTTGGAAACACAATTATTCTGAGTCTTTGACAAATGGTTTTGGGGGAAAAGCTTGGAGGATATAATTAATGTGAATGGAATAAATATTTCAAACTAGAAAGAGCACAGTTTACACGATCTCAACACAAAGCAATAATAAAGTAGAAATTAATAACGAAGTTTTAAATAGAAAATACTAGAGCCATAAAATGCAAACCACTTTTCTAAGTTTTTGGATCATAAAGGAAATCAAAACTGTAATTACTGACAGTTAAGAAAAAATGGCAATGATGAGGTCATGTGTCAAGATGTGCGGATAGGATGGAACTGCAATTAACAGACACATTTCAGATCTGTGCTTTGTTATTAAGTATTTAGTGAAAATAAACTACCTACTCAATATGATAATTTAGACATATAATACAAAGGAAAGAAGGTGAAGGAAATAATTTTCAAAATAAAATATTGATGACAGGCAAATTTAATAGAGTAGACAAATAAGCTGAAGAGTATATTATAGGAAAAATACATTTCGATAATATGGATCTTATTTTAGGATTTGGCAGTATGTTTAACATTAGAAAATATTTCAATGTTTTATATGATTTTGGATTGCTTGTTTCATGTGGGTGTGTTTTGTTTTGCCTTGGGTATATGGGTTCTTGGATAGTTCATAAAAAATTAATGCCTTTTCATCAAAAGGCAATTAAATACAAACTTGTTTTTACACAAGTTTTATACAGATTTGTGAGTTCAGAGGTTAAATGCAAGCTCCCGCATAAGTGATGTTTTTCTGGGCAGTGTCAATGTTAAGCATCTCAAGGAGATCTGGAAACCCCCAACCTTCAAAATTGTTATTTTCCCGGAAACAGTAAATCCATTTGGTAGACTAAAGGAGAAAACATAGATGGTAACCTTTTTAAGAAATCTCCAAAATGGAGTCCAAGTACATTGTGTATTTAAAAAACATTTTGAAACCAAAAACAAGAACCAAATTAGTTATAGAAAAAATGATTTCTAACAGTGACAAATTATTCCTAACCCAATATTTAAGCATTAATCATCTGTAATAGAAAAGTAACATTGACATTCTCAGTGAAGAGCAAGAAAAATATGTACCACTCCCCTCCACATGCTATTCTTGAGGTTCTAAGTCAAGAACCAAAATTTTGAGATACAACTCTTGAAAATTGTGAAGAGGACATTGCTGTTACTTTTGGAAGATAATATTATTTCAAGCCACAGAGTCATTTACCAAATACTTATTGCACAACTACTGTGTGGCCAGCGCTGTTCTAGACACGTGAGAGCAGGCTGTGCACAGCATCGGGAAGACTGATCCAGGAAGGGTATCATTCCAAGTGGGTAAGTGGGAGAAGACAGGGGACACGTGAATTAAGGTAAAATTCTAGTGACTTCAGGTTGGATGTCCTTGGCTACTTAAAAAGTCAAAATGTGTCAGCAGAAAAAAATTATTATCAATAACAGGAGGATGTAAAATACACATGAAAGTAGTAGTTTTGAAATAATCATGTATAAAATGTAATGGACGCATCTCCATTCACAATAGCAATGCAAAGAATATGAAATATATGCAAACAAACTTAACAAGAAAGTACTGGACATATAATTTTAAAAAATCTAGATGTGAATGTATATCACATGAATACACACTTATGTATTCATACTTATATATTAATTGAAAGAATACATGACTATATAAATGGAGCAATTTATGTTTCTGGCTAGAAAGACTCATCGTAAAGATGTCATTTATCTTCATATTTTTTATATATTTACTGCTGCTATAATTTTAATAAAATTCTTTGGGACCCTTGTAAAGAGAATATAATATTCATCTGGAATAATAAACATTAAAGAACAGCCATAAATAATTTGATTAAGAAGGGATATAAAAGGGCACCTGGGCTAGGAGATATTAAAACATATCATAAAGCTGCAGTGGAATTGAGCTGGAAAATGTAGAAACCCATTCACTAGAGTAGGGATGCCACATTTGTTGCAGTTACCATCTCCTTCCATCTTCCTCGCCGTGGCAGACATTCATTGCTAAGTGCCCTAGGTGCCCACCCTGGGCCTGGACATGGTCTGAGAATACCCCAGGCAGGCACGATTAGACCATCAAAGTTGGCACATGGATTAAAACATTCAGGCACTTTATTCAGGTGTGTGATAAAAGTGGCTTTTAAGCTCTCAAGGGAAGGAAAGATTCTTTCAGAAATGATTCTGGAAAACCTGGCTAAGTCTTTGGAAAAAAATAGAGTTAGCCTTTACTTTACATTGTATACTAAAAATAAATTCCAGATGGATCAAAGGATTGAATGTAAAAAAAGAAAGCAGGAAAGAGCTCGAAGATAATATACTTATCTGACATCAAAGTAAAGTGGGTCTTAGCAGAAAAGCAAAGGAAGAAATCAATAAAAGACAGGATGGATAGATGATGTTACTCCAAAATGTTTCATTTCTGTAAGTCTTAAAAGTACTATTTATAAAACATACTGGGTATGTTTTACAATATTTTGTAAGATATTGTTTGAAAATATATATGTCTATGCACATGTGTACCTACTAGTGCTTGCTGCAGCAGCACATAGAATACATATAATATAATTTTTAAAATATTCTAAAGAGATTAGATTGAAACATACAAAAAATATCTTAGCCATTCATTTAAGGTGGGTGATTATGAATAATTTTTTACAATAAATATGTTATTCCAAAAAGGATTGTGTATCAGATTTACAAAGGGAAAAATAGGAAACTAATATTTTTTTAATTATTTTTTTTGCCTGGGCATGGGACCCCCATCTCCCCCCAATCACCGCTCCGCCCCCTGCCCAGGCCTGATGCCTCTGGCCCAGGCGTCAGGCCTGGGAAGGGGACCCCCATCTCCCTCTGATCGCCGGCTCGGCCCCCCACCCAGGCCTGAAGCCTCTGGCCCAGGCTTCAGTGTTGGGGTCCAGCCCCAGCAGGTCCAGGGGTTTCCCAAGGTGTGGACGGAGTCTGCGAAGAAGGAATGAATAGAAGACATGGAGGCAGCGTTCAGTTGATCATAGGAGCTAGGTTCTCTCGCCAGGTTCTCCAGCCAAGTTCTGTCTTGGAAACAAATACTTTTTTTAAAAAAAAATCGAATATTCAGTATTTTTACAGACATTATTTCTGAGTTCTTTTAACAATCTTTTGAAGTATCTAATAATACTCCACTTTTAAACATGAGGGACCTGAGGTTCAGTGAGATTGAATAAATGCCCCAGCAGAGGAGTTAGAGTTGTGACCTGAAGTGGAGGTTTTGTGATCCCAAGGCCATGACCCAGCATCAGTTGTGGATCTCTGTTCTGCTTGACGCCAGAATTGGAGAGAAAGAACGGGGGAAGGAGGTTATGTTTATTTCAGGCCTGAACTCTCAACAGCAAAGGGGCTTATTTTATCCCACTCTCTGCCTGTCCCCACTTCCTCCCAGTCAGTCCTTCAAGGGGCTGGGAAGGCAAATGCCTACCTCCTCTACATGTTAGGCTCCTAGAGGGGAAACATCAGAGTTGGGGGGAAAGGGGGCGCTTGCTCTTCTTTACCATTTGCAAGATCCTGAGATCCTTGTTTTCCTGGCCCACTACTTCGTAAATCTTGTATTTGAGTTCTTGTGGTTCCTAAGACTGTTAATGTTTTTTTAAAAAAAGGTTTATTGCTCTATTATAGATGTTCTGGAGCTTTTAATTCTGTGGATTATAGGCATCTTGTTGCAAAATGATGGAATCAAATGTATGCAATATACCAGTAGCTCTAGGTAAGAAATGAGCGCTCTTCAGGAAGTATTTTGAGACTGTTAATATGCTTAGATAAGTGTGTTTCACTCAATCTTTCTTCTGTCAGCACTCAAGCTTCTCAAATCCCATCGTTTTCCTTTGGAATGATAGCACCATAAGAAATGAATACACTTATGTTACTATGCTAGCGAATGTAGCCAGCTTACAAGTTTGGGTCTGGGGTATGTTATTCCGCTAAAATAAGTTTGCCTGTTTTGAAAATATATTTGTGTATATTATGATTGATATGTGGTATTATCCTCTGGCCTGAGTCTGGGCCATTTCTCTGCTTCTTCTGTTCACAGGGGATCATTATTTAAAAACATCCAATTAGATATGACAAACTTCAAATTGGCTCAAATAAGGAGCATAGTTATATTTAGGATATTGTTCCTCTAGAACTGTTGGTGATGGCAGTTTTCTTCCAAGTTAGTTTTAGAAGATATTTCTAAAAGGCATGATTGTGATCACTTTGCTTCAAGCTTCCCAACCTGCACCGAAGCCTCTGATCCTTTTACGTTCAGTTTATGACACTGCAGCCGCTGCTGACATCTGGGAGAACTGCAGGAAGGACTTGCCTCACACAGAGCCTTTCACGAAGCTCTGTTGTCCTTCCAGAGTTTTAGTTGGGTCCCCACTGCTTGTCAAAAAGTCACTCTTCATATTGCCTAAGGCTACCTTTCAAGAAACTTTTATTATTTAATGTACCCTGAGTTCCAGCAAAATTGTACCAATCAATATTCAGCTGACGATGCTCATTTTCTGTTTTCTATGGTCATTACCATTGTTTTTAAATCCTCACCCAAGGGTATGTTTTTTGTTGATTTTAGAGATAGAGGAAGGGGGAGGGAGGGGAAGAGGAGGAGGAGGAGAGAGAGAGAGAGACATCAATGTGAGAGAGAAACATCCATCAGTTGTCTTTTGTACATGCACCGACAGGGGATCAAACCCACAACCTTTTGGTGTATGGGACAATGCTCCAACCAACTGAGCCACTTGGCCAGGGCTGGTCATTACTATTTTGATTTCCTGGTATATCATATCTCATCCTCTGTCTCTCTCTGAATGAGATCCTACCTGCCTTAAGTCATCAATGGAGCTTTCCAGCATCTCAGACTTTGAATGCCCACAGAGCCTTAGTTTGGATCTCTTACACCATATACCTGTGTCCACTCCTGCTCTCTACATCCTTTTCATTCCCTCATATAAGTCCTCTTTCTTCACTTAGCTTGGTTTCTATTTTCCATTGACTCCAATTTTATGTCTTAAAATGGGATCTTATTCTCATTGAACCCCTTGCATTGCAAATATCATTTTGTATTTTTTTTATTTTGAAATGACCTCTCAAGGACAAGTGTTTGGCCCTGTGCATGTCACCTATACTTTTTTGAGGTCAGTGTGACCAAACCATAACTTGAGACCCAGGTCACTCTCACTTTGAACCTGCCCTTCATTTGGCCCCGCCTACCTGAGGAGAGGAATTGAACACCCACAAGAATGCTACAGTTAACACTGCAGATTATTAGGTGGCTCCCCAGCCCCTTTTGTGGAGCCCAGTTAGGGTGACAGAGTGACCTAATCTAATGAAGTCACAGTTAGAAAGGAGAGTGTTCCATCTTTTCCGTTTCAAGCAATCTGTTCCCAATCCCATTGCGTCCCCAGGGTGCAGGGGATTCTAGACTGCCTTCTTTGGTCTTTTCAGCTCTTTTACTGATTTCTACCCATGGAATTTACTCGGAGTCTTTTGGGACACACCATGTGGCCAAATCCACTTTCTACTTTTGGCAGAGATATCCCTCATGGGTGCTCTACCATTTAGCTCTCCCACCATTATATCCCCTTCCTCCAACCCAGCAGCCATCAGTCTTTTCCTGTCTTTGGACCCCTCTGGTGTCTGGCCTTTTATGGAGATTGTTGGTTTCAGATCTGTTTCTGCTAGTGCATACGAAGTGTGACCGTTAGCTCCAGAGGACAGAAGACCTAGGGGGAAAGAGTGTATATCTGCTGATCAAAAGAGTGCCTGTCTCTATCTTTGCTTTAAATGCTCCCTTTTTTTATAACCTTAATCTTTCATGTTTTAGCATTGCACGGGTTAAGGGAAAACTTTCCCTGTCACATCTTTTCTGTTCCTAACTATTCTTGCTCCTCTCATGTTTACATTGCCAACTAGTACCCCGCGAGAAGACTTGCCTATAGAAGGTGTTCAATTAAATGCTGGATTCATAATCCTGTCCATTTTTTGACTTCCCACATCTTATTCACGTCTGCTATTGCAGAAGCTGAGTACAATTAAAGCCTTCGCCAAATTGCCTGTGTTGTATTTCTCAGTCAGAAACTTGCAAAGAATATTTTAAACAGTTGTCGTGTGGGCTTTTCCTGAAATGCCATGTCACTCCAAAAGTGATACTCTGCTATTTTGACTACTCATAGAAAATGAGGAAGGAGGTAGGCTGAACAGAGAGAAATTCCAACTGACATAGTACTCCTAGCCAAGCCAGTGGGGTAGGAACATTTCTTATCTTTAGAATTTTGGAAATAAGTAAGGCATTGTGAATTCTTAAAGATCTCTCCTGTCTGTGACGAATGTAAATAAGAAATAATAATGATAGCTGGCGTAGGGATAACCTATGGGTAAAAAACACCACCACCTCCTTTCTTGACATTTTGTATACTAATTCCAACAGTATTATGTGGCAATACACCTTGTTAGGGACTATGTGTTTTAGAGCAAATCAACAAGTTATATCAACTCACTATTTGAAAAACACCTTAGCATTTTTTGTATGTTTTAAAATAGGTTACAGGGGGGGAAATAACAAACTTTCCATTCACATTAGATTGCAGCAATGCAGTGATTTCCTGTACATTTAAAGGGTTTCTGAAATGTTAGTTTAAAAAATTCTAGTAATGATATTTTAAATATACATAGGAGATATGGGGGGTGGGGGGTTGACATCTTGTCCAGGAGAGAAAAATCTATACCACTGAACTATGGGGGTTGCTTAGTGAAAATAATATAAATATTCTGGCCTAAAGCACTTTGGTGTGTTTGAAAGTGTGGCTAAGATAATCAAATGATACTACTTCCCAATGATTCCCAGAGGAATTTATTTATGTTCTCAGTGGCTCCTGCCAGGTCCTCTGGAAAGTCCTCCTTGTTCACGTCTCCCTGGGAGCACTTCCAAAGTGGCTGGTGGGGAAGGTAGGTGTCCATTGTGGAGACTGCATCTTTTCCACAGACCAAGCCCACAGCCCGCGAGCCTCGGTGGGGAGCCCCGGTATTGTCTTCTCAGCTTGTAGGGGAGGAATAAAGGAAGACCACATTTTTGATGACTAGCTTCAGTGTGCCCTAAGGAAATTCTAATGAGA